GGGCAGTGATGAAAGGCGGACAGCGGTACCCACTGAGTTAGTCGCAAAAGGCGAAAATCAACATGTGGTTAGAAGGTTACAGGTTCAGTCTGGGTGAGTATGTTTTCCTTCCTTGTCAAAATAAAACAGGTAAAGTGTGCCGATGGATTTGGTTTTATTTGCTCATGTTTTTAGATATCCCCATCTGGGCCTTCAGCTGCAACCTTGATAACGAAAGTGATTTTTTTCTTTGCAGAGAATTGAAAAATGAGATTGTAAAAACTCGACGGCGGGGTTTTATTTCTGGAACGGTGTCTGGGCTACCCCGAAGAATGTGACGTCAATAGCTTTTCTTTTCTCCATAGAAAGTGGTTCCATTGAATATGTATATGTACATACATATTATATATACATATATGGCTGGTGCCGTGGGGGACTTAATGTCCTGACCATGAAAATTTCCATCCCCGGTGTGAATCCGGCGAGGACGACCTTTCTGTACGTTGGAACATTCATCCTGTTCTCCGATCTCTTTTCATCTCTCTCAGGCTCAACCTCACTCGTCTCCTTTGCCCTTTTCATTTAGATGTTTGTGAAGAATACCCTTCGTTGCGCTTCGTGCCCACGTTGAATCACCTTGTCTCTCTCTCTCTCCGTCCTCTATAAAGCCCTTTGTAACGGTTTTGAAAAGTGCTCCGCGAGTGACTCACTAACAGCTGTGCTTCTTTAAAACGCGAGGTGTGTAACGCGGTGAGTGAGGTGGCTGTTGATATGCAAACATTAAACCCTGATATACTGTCACACGGGGGCTCGGCGGCGAGTCGGGGCTGGTTTGGGACCTGCAGCGTGGCCTCAACGGCTCGATGTCGTGTTGCGCAGGAGTTCGGGCTCCGACAGGCACGTGGCCGACGACGCTTGGCACAGCGGTCACGTGGCCAAAAAGCTCGCCTCAGAACAACAGCTTCACAGTGACATATGACTTACATAAGAAGACCGCACTTCTGTTCAACAAGGGCACTCAAAATCAACATGGACCGAGGAAAGGCCGAGCTAAAGGTCGACCGAAGGGAGTGAATGGATGTCAGCACACATACGTGGAGTGTTTCTATAATGCCAACAGGAAGGTGAACTTTATTAGCTGGATCTGTTTTTAATAAATAACGCTTCTTCCCACTGTTACCACAGTATTTTGTATCACTGCCTTTCTAAAATATGTTATCTCTGCTTTTTTCTCTTCTTCTGTCTCCTTGTTTTTTCTTTCTTTTTCGAAGGTGCTGTGTTGTGCAGCCAAGGCCGTTTCTTCCTCAGAACATTCTCTTAAATAGGCTATTCATGGATTCTTCAATGAAACCCTATTACATTTGTGTGTGTGTGTGTCAGAGAGAGAGAGAGAGAGAGAGTTGAAGAAAGAGAAATAAAGAGAGGGAAAGGTATTCCGGGGGCCGGGCTACAGTACCATCTGTATGCAAATCTCCCTCAGACTTTGGTAAACTTTGATCAAACACTCTGGCCTCCTTTTCTCTCCCTTTCACCCTCCCTCCCTCCCTCCCTCCCTCTCCTGCCTCCCTGTGCACTATGTGCTCTGCAATTACTGTAGCTCCACAGCTCTTTGTCAGGGATGCATATTACTCAGCTTGGGCAATGGGTTCCCCTGAGGAACTGCCCCTCGTCCTTCACCACACACACACACACACACACACACACACACACACACACACACACACACACACACACACACACACACACACACATATGTTTTCGGCCCCAATACCTCCTGATACCCTCCTTATACAGGCTCTTTTACCTACGAAAACCCCAACACTCACCATTTCTAAGCACCTGCGAACACGGCGGACTCCCAAACAGATGGTGACACACACACACACACACACACACACAAACAGAAATAACACCTCTCACAGATAGCAGGCTCTGGGCAAATGGAAGCCCCGTGTGGCGCAGGTGACGGGCATGCCTTTTGTGCAGAGTTGGGCCACATTGAGGGCAAACACACACACACACACAGCAGGGCATTGTTCCTCCATATGTTAAGATTACCATGTGAATCAGATTGGTGTCGGACAGACCAATAGACGTGTTGGGACAAGTGCTGTCATTTAATGCGAGCGGCAATCAAGATCTCAAACCAGAGGACGAGACGCACGCGTGCAAAACACAAACACAAACACGCCACATCATCTCTGTGTCGTTTTAACGTACATCCGCCAGCGGGGGGTAAGCCCATTAGAGTTGTGCTTGTGTTTCTGGGAGGGCAGCTCCGCCCGGGCAGTCAGTGGGCAGAGGAATAATGGGTATTATTCGGGAAAAAGCCACGCCCATATGTCTGTTTATGGGAGACTTTCCCTCAACCCCAGCTCCCTATATGCTCAACCAGCCTAATTTCTAAGAGTAGTTAGATTAAACAGGGTTAAAGTGGGGGGGGGGGGGGGGGGGCTGCGCGTTCCGATATCTTACACTGAGATGCCACTGATGCCATCCGAAGCAAACTGTCGTTTTTTTCATTTCCATTTTCTCTTCTCCTGCATGTTATTGTCCGTGAACTTGTTTTCATCCTATAAGCGAGCAGGATAAGCCATCAGGCAGATGGCAAGGGGAAGTCCCAGAAGAGGACACACGCACACAAAGACACGAGATCCTGCGCCTGCACGCACGCTCACGTGCACGGTAAAGTAAGCGCACAAAGGCACCCAAACCCACCAAACTGCTGTTACGTAATCCAGCAGTTCTACTCCCCCGGCAAGAGTGTCAACTGCAGAACAAAGTCATCAGTCTTCATATGGCGCTGCCTCTCACTGGGCGAACATACCTGTGGGCCGTTCCTCCCGCGTGGATGAACGTGGTGTGAAAGGGGTTCAATGTGAAGAGGGTGGCAGTAAAAGAGCCAATTCGGAGGGATTTGTTCCGTCCTGTGAACTGTCTCTAAGTAACTTAACGTTTCAACCGATGAAGTGAGAGTCGCATGATGCTGAGCAGTCATTGTTTTTATGTGTAAATTCAGTCATTTCCAGTATGTGTTTTTGATGTCCTGGTAATTCCCTTCTCCGCCAGCCTCTTTCTCTGTGAAACACGCCGTCGTGCTGAATGGCTACTCGGACCGTGGCAACAGATTTCCCTTTCAGCCATCTCCAGAGAACGCCCGGCCAGACTCCTGAGTGGCACATATTTGGGCTTAGGCCCGGCACTGGAGGCACAGGGGGAAAAGGAGGAAGGAGAAGGAGGAGTAGGTGAGGAGGAGGAGGAGGAGGAGGAGGAGGGCCAAAGCCATGTGGCTGATGTTGGTAAACAGTATCCAGCCTTGTCCTGGCATGGTGGCAGGCAGGGGGCACAACGTCGGAGATATCATGAGCCCCCCCCCGGGCCACACACAGACCGGGACAAAAGGTGGACGCACACATACAGACATTTGCATTCATACGCACACGCACACGCATGCAGGCAGAAAGACACGGACTACTAACAGACAAATAAAAGACTCGCTCTCTGTGTCTGCCACTCAGCAGCTGCTGCAGTTTCCATGGCAACGGCCTGAACAATGTAGTAGGAAGGGCTCTGCCGGGGAGAGAGGGAAAGAGAGAGGAGAGCGTGTGTGTGTGTGTGCGTAGGTGTGTGCGTGGGTGGGTGTGAGAGGCTACGGAGGGGGAGGAAGCCGCAGGGTGCTGAGACAGAAGACACTCTCTATTTCTTTGTCAGGGTGGATCTTTGGAGAACAGCAAAACAAATACGGAAATGTTGAGGCAAATGAAAGAAGTAAACAGAGAAGGAGACAGATATGAACGGGGGGGGGGCTGACGCTGATGTCCAGCAGAGTAAAAGATCCACACACAAGGGCCAAGGTGAAGATTTTATGATGTCTATTTATTTTTCAAAATGAGGTATTTCAAAAGTGCTATGAGTTGCAGCACTAAATGTACATTTTAAAAGTCATAAAAACAAACATCTTATATCCGTTTACCCAGTTCTATGCACCCGATAGTTACAAATATAAACAAAAGAGGGATAAAGAAAAAGGCCAGGTACATGATAGAACACATTTGCTGTACAAAAGAATTATTTGAGATAAAAGAGAAAAAAAAAGACAAGAGATAAAGTGATGTCTAACTCATTTTCATACGAAAATATAAGTATCAAATTTAGTATGTATCAGTTTCACACTAAAAGCATACAGGTGTGTAGAATTAGTAATATGATACAATACAAAGGAAAAGAAGCTAAAAAAAAACAATATATTGTTATATTACAAGTTTCATGACTTTCAAAAATTGAGGCCTTACAGTACTTTTAAAGGTATATAAACTTCCAGTCTGGTTATTGGCAGCTTCCTGACACGTATAAAAAAACGAGGACAAAATGTATTAAAAAACAAGGCAGATCTGAGTTTATTTTGTCTGTACACTATTGTTATATACAAAAGTGTCGGCTAGCAAAGGTGCACAGTTTTACATCCACTGACTTGGTTGGAGCACCAGTGTGAGAGAGGAGTGAGAGAAGAAAGAGAACCTGTAGTGGCATCGCTTGTGTGACCCAAAAGTCGGTACATAGTCTCTTCAGTTTTTTTGCAGTGGTGAAGGCAAAAGTAAGTGTGCACTGCGTCTGGTACGTGAACTCTCCAAGCAAAGTGCCCTCTTATACCCATCCTCGTGGGAATCCCCCGATTCCAGGCTGGTGTCACAGTGAGTACAAAAAAAACAAACTAGATACAAATGATATATAAAATTAAAAAAAACGGAGGGAGCGAAGAGGAAAACAAGGTCCCCTCTCCTTCCTCAGTCTTTTTTTTATCTCTCCTCAATGTGACTGGATTGAAAAAGTAAACCCTAAACATTCTTAACGTCAACAAATGTGCAAAAAAAGTGGCGGCAGTGAAAGTCCGAGCATCCCCTCCCTGGCCGCCCGCTCCTCCTCCTCTCCCCCAGGTGTGTGTGTGTGTGTGTGTTGGCATCTGAAGATAAACGTCCTCCCGGAGACCTTTGTGTGTGCACGTGTACACCAGATAAGCGGGCCTATGTGTGTATGCATGGAGTTGAGGCGGGGTGTGAGGGGGTCGCAGAGGGCAGGGCCTTAGAGGTGGAGGTGGGGGGTGGGGGTCGTCCATGGTATCTGTGAGTGTTCCTGTGTTGTAGTGGTTGTCTGTTAGCGAGTCCTGGCCTGCTCCAGCCTGCGCATCAGCTGCTGCCTGCGGGCCTTGAGCCTGTCCTTCTCCTGCTGCAGCCTCGTGGCCTCCGTCTCCAGCGAGCTCACGTACTCGGTGGCCTTCTTCAGGATCAGCACCTTGGCCGCCTTCTCGTTGTGCGCCAGCTCCGGCACGTGGTCGCGCAGCGTCAGGAAGCTGGAGCGCAGGTCGTTGCGGCGCTGGCGCTCCAGGATGTTGTGGTTGCGCCGGCGCTCGCTGTCCTCCGAGTCGTCGGAGCTGCCGCGCGGGCTGCTGTCCCCGCTGGCGCTGCGCTTGCTGCGCGGCCCCGACGCGCCGCCGAACGAGCTGCAGGACGTGGAGGAGGACGAGGAGCACGACGAGATGGTCCTGGGCGGGGGTCGAGGGGCGTCCGACGTCCTTTGCTTCTTCGCGGCGGGGCGGGGGTCGTCGTCCGAAGGTGTACGGCGACGGCGCCGCGTAGTTGTGTTGCTGCTGGTGGACGGTGCTCCTCTTCAGGATCAGCTCCTGGGGGGCTCTGCCGACGAACCGGCTCACCACGCCGGACCCCCTCGCGTCTTGGCTCTTGGGGTGCACGGAGATGGTGACCGTCCCCGCCGCCATGGGGGACGCCTTGTTCATCGTGGAGCGCCTTTTCTCCACCGTTACCACGTCAATCTCCTCCTCCTCCTCCTCCTCATCATCATCGTCCTCATCCTCCTCCTCTCCTTCTTCGTCGTCCTCCTCGTCGTCGTCGTCGTCTTCGTCGTCGTCTTCCTCTTCTGGGAAAGGGAAAACAGAACGTGAGTGACTTAACCCCTGTGACACACCAAGCATCCCCCACTCTGTCATCCTTGTATCAGCAGGCGACAGGTATGTACGAGAGTGAGATCTCCACGGCGGGAGCGACAGCGTTGCTCAACAGAACCCTCTTAATGCTTAGTGTCAGTAACTCCCCAACTAATCTACTCGGCAGGCGTTGACACGTTGAGTCTCAGCGCTGAGCAGACAGGCTGGATCTCTGCACCCCCCCCCCCCCTCGCCTTTGAAAAGTCCCTTAATCTTCTCCAGGAGACGAGACAGCTTCAGTCTGATGCCTTCGGTCTATCGTGGAGCCCACCGTCACTGCGGCGGGTTGGCGAGGCGGTGAGAACTTCCGTTTAACGTTGACCTCTGATGAAGTCAATTGCAAAATGAAACATATTTTTTTTTTTTTCTCCCAGCTGAGCACTTTGTCTTAACCCTCCGCTGAGTCTTATCGTGGACCGGCGCCTTTGAAGATGGGAGGAGGTGGCCGATGGCGAGGCGGAGTGTGAGGCCCAGTTAAAATGCCTTTGTGATAATGGCTCTCATTATCAGCTCAGGAGCATCTGAAGAGTGTGGCATTTTACAGCTTACAGTAACCCACTTCAGACACCACTGCACCAGGGCACTGTCTCAAAACACTCACTGAACACACACACACACACACACACGCAAACTCAATCCTGCCCTGTCATCAAAACAAAACTGGGCACAGCTGGGTGGATGAGGGGGCGCGGCCGCCACATGTGAAGCAGATTGATGTTCCATTCTCGGATGGGAACGGCTCATCTACTGGAGCTGGAAAGCCCACAACTGGGAGGAGGAGGAGGCCGTACAACACGTCTATCTGGGAAGTGGAAATAGTCGTAGGGTGTAGTAGGAGTAGGGTGTCCATTGTTCCATTGCAGGGCCCAATAAACAGGAATACTGGCCTAACTGTGGGGAGAAGCTCGCATTGTCCGCCCTCTAAAGTCCCGTCTCTTTGATGAGAGAAGAAACAAGGCCCCCGCCGCACAAAGAAGGACGCGTCTTAACGCCGCGAGTGGCGGAAGCGCATTGGAGCGGCGCTTCGCGCGCAGGGTGGCGGGGGCGGCAGGCGATCGGATCACCAGCCTTTAAGCCCGAGAGCTGGAGCGGCGCCAGGGAGACAGCTGTCGCGATGGAGGGCCACCCCCCACCTAAAAGAAGAAGCCAGGGCCCTCCTCCGTCCGCTTTTCTTCGCAGTGGAGGAGGTGTTTGGCAAGGCTGGCAGAGTCAACCCTCTGTGCCAAGCTCGAGGTCTTTGTAGTGCTGTTTCACAGCGAAAAACACGCTGATAAGGACTCGTGAGTGTTTGTTTAGGGAACGTGTAGGCGGTAATAGACGAGAGATGAAGTCTTGGGGCAATTAAGGTACACACAGCACTCATTTCCCAATGAAAACACACTGCACCGTCAACGTTAGACCTACACAAATGGGATCTGTGTATTGTATATCTGGGTGTACAGCTTGATCATTTTAGCTTATCAGCTGAACCCAAGGCAGCAGTTTGTACCAACGGTCCGAAAGAAGGGCCAATTTCTCACCCGCTGTTGGCAAATTGTCCCTTAATGAAAGCCTCGGTGGCACTTTTGTCAGTTCATCACATTGCTGAACACCTTTTTCATCCCACAGCCGGGTGGCACCGCATCACTAACTGTGGCTGCTTTTTGTTTTGGCTCCGAGGGCAACCGAGTTCAGCAAGGCGCACAATTCCCCCATTTTACCGCCATCTGCCGGATGAAGAGCCCGCGGATTGGCGGATTACATAAACCTGGCTCACTGTGTTACTGGTCCACCGCGAGTGTGTGCGTGTGTTTGTGTCTGCGTGTGTGTGTGTGTGTGTGTGTGTGTGTGTGTGTGTGTGTGTGTGTGTGTGTGTGTGTGTGTGTGTGTGTTTGCGCGTGTGTGTTCGTGGAATGCAACGAGATAATCCGATCCGTGCAAATCATTATTAACAACAAGATGATTATAATAAAACAACAATAACAATCCCGGTACTTATTGTGTAGTAATCGGAATGCAATGCTATTGCAGTGTTGGAGGTGTTTGCTTCATAGAAGTATTATTATTATTATTTTTTTTATAAAATAAAAGCCAGTCTTTAATTTCTTACCGGAGTCACTGGGAGCGCATCCCGGGTTTGTGGGCGTGTTAACGGTCCCGGTTGAGTCTCGGCTGCCGTTCTTCTTGTTGACCGGGAAAGGGAAGACCACGGTGGGGTCCACGCACTCCGTCACCGGACTGCGGCTCGCCACCTCCGGTGCTTTGACGCACGCGCTCCTGCCGCCCGCGGTGGCGGTGGAAATAGCCTTGCCCAGTTTCTCGGTGACCACCCGCTCCAGCTTCTCCCTGGCGGAGAAGCCGCTCCACATACAGTCCTGGATTATGATGTTGCTGGGGTTAGTATCCAAAGGGGAGCCAAACAGGTCCCCGTCGTCGGACGCCCCCCATATATCGTCCTCGGGCAGCAGCAGGAGCTCCGATGCCCAGTCCAGCGGGTCCCCGAGACCGAAGCCCAGAGGGTCTGCTTCCGCGGAGGCAGTCGCCGCATCCCCCGGTAGCGCGGCCCGGCTCGGGGAGAGGGGCGGAGTGGGTAACAACTCGAATTTCTTCCAGATGTCCTCCCCCGGTGGCGCGGAGTCGGGACCACAGAGGTAGAAGTCGTCCTCGTCCGGGTAGAAACACGGTTGTAAGGAGTCAAACTCCAAATCGGAGTTTTTACTTACGATCGCCGGCATTCTATCCCACAATCGAAAAACCTGGAAAGGAACAAAAGATACTTTAGTCTCCAAAAGGGACGAGCGTCTCTCCCCGTGCACTCTTTCACACCTGAATACTGCGCTCCAGGAAAGAGCATGGATCAAAGCCCACACACAGACACACGGTCTGCTCCTCGCTCACCCCTCCGTGGGGTTTAAATCCCACATAAAATGTCTCAGGAGAATGTGCGTAAATGTGACCCGTGACGCACGGAGGGTGCAGATCGACGCATTGGCTCACTGCTGACTAAACATGGCAGAAAATGTCACTGAGACACAAAAAAGAAAGTGTGTTTACAAAAAAAAAAACACATGAGATGACATTACATCTAATAGACATTCCGCTTTGTGTGTGTGGAAAAAATAATAATAATAAATAACAGCCCGCCTCTGTATTTAACCGCTGGAATTAAACGATGCTCACCTTGTCCTGACTTGGGATAATAATGTGCGAGCCAAATATTTCTCGTAACTCGCAATCAGTAAAGCAGACACCAGATTTGGAGCAGTCATCTACTCGGGGAGCACAGACAGTCCTCTGACACACATTGCGCCCGGCTTTACCGTGTTATACACTCGATCTGCGGGAGGGGAGCAGACTCCGCCCCCCTCCCCGGGCGGGAGGGGGGCGGAGCAGTCGGGCTTTTGGGGGGTTTGATGCGGCGCGGCGGACGCGGTTGTGCTGGGAGCTTTTTCCTTCAAGGTGAATCGAGAAAACAGCCAAAACACTGCACGCGGGAACGAAAGCGACGAGGAAGGAGATCGAGGAGACGTAAAAGAAACACAATGTATTTTATTGACAGCCTCAGTACAACTGCCCCCCCCCCCCTACTACCCACACCTTTCCACTGGGATGTCCGACCCAGGATCAACCACGAAACAGCGCAGGTAGTGGTTTGAAGTCTTGCTCAGCTTGCTCAAGGGCACTACAGCAGGCCCGGGTGCTACACTCACCCGAGGGGCATCAACCAAGTGAAGGACATTGCTTTTTTTAAACCAACCCCCTACAAATAAAGGTTCCCTCTCACACACACGACCCTTACATGATGCATCTATTACACATTGGAGTCTCAAATTAATTGTTTGGTTTAAGAGATTGAAACAAAATAACCTGACCTTGATTTGGTTAAAACGTTGTAAATGCAAACGGAGGAATGCTTATTTCTATTTGTGAAACACGCAAACGCGAGCTGTTTATGAACACGCACTGGTAGCAGCGATGCGGTACACTGCCCACCGGCCTGTGGGCCTCAGCAGCCCGTTCTCTCTTTTGTCTGAGGGTCATCCAGCATCCCCTGGATGAAAAGGCCCCACTGCGCCCTCACACGGACGCGCGGGGAACCACAGCGGATCCTCGCACCTTCTTCACCCCAAACACGGCGAGACAAAGACACGAGGGCACAGGGTCCTCGCAAAATGAGAAAAACAACAACAACAACAACAACAACAACAACAAGGAGATGGCAAGGAATGTCAGACAAATCACACGCCGGGGAAACAGCTTGTGGGTTCGGGGAGGATTCATCTGCGTCCGGGACAGGAGGTCCCGAGAAGATACATGTTACGTAAGCCTGAGCGGTGGTTGTAGCCTGGAGTCATTCCCATTCCCTTTTCTAATGACAGATAAGTTGGAATGGTGCATCTGTAATTATGCAAACAGGCGTACACGCAGGTCCTTTATACTGACTCATTCAGGAAAAACGTTTTCCGAGCGGATTCCACGTCAGCTGTGAGCTGCGAGAGTGACAGTTTATTTGGCAAGCAGAAATAGATGATAACAAAAAATAATTTGGAGGATAAAAATAGATTTTAATTTTAACTTTACGATATTTTGGTTTTACAAGATTTACTGTATACATTAATACATATCAAGACGCTATTTCTAGATGAATACAGATGTATTTCCATTTATTTGATACCATAAACCTTTTATTCGTTGCTGACTTCAAACAACCACATGCGTCAGCCAGCGAAAAAAGTGAAAATCTGCAGCTGCTTGGTCTACAAAGTGGGAATCGCGGGGAGTTTCCTGGGACTGGCGATTGCTCCCAGGAACTTGGGAAACAGTTTGGGATTCAAAGAAACTCCCCACGGGCCCCCGGGTCCACCCTGCTCTTTGGCTCCTGCTCAAACTGACCCTCTAACAGCGGCAGAAGCAGAAGCGGCTTCCTCCTCTGTCCGAATGGCAAAGAGGGGGAGTGAGAACAGTATAGGGAAAGTTTTCCTCGTGTCCAGTCAGTGCAGATGCGCCAGGACAGGAAGCTGCGTGCATGCTGCTGCTTTTCAGTGGACCAGAAGATTAAAGAAGAAGGTAAAGAAGCCGATGGATGGATGGATTGGGGAAATTGGCATCAGAGTTCGCTCACAGCGAGACCACCTTAGATAAACAAGAGCCCTCCCCCCCTTAAGTGGACACAGGCGTCAGCCAGAAGTGCACCAGCGTCTTTGCCTGTTGTTTTTATGACAGTTGTGGCGTGCCCACACCCCCCTTCCGGGACCGGGACATGGGTGGTTAAGCAATCAGGCCAGTTTTGATAAAAGATTCCTAAGTCACCCTTGTGGATAGTGCAGACAAGCGTATTGTGGGTAAAAACAGCTGCAGTGACATCAGGACGGGCTGGTTGGGTTAGAAAGGACAGCACGCACAACATATCAATATTGAACGCTGTTTATAGTGGGTCCTTTTTGGTGTCATGGCTTTGTTTTCATCAGAAACATTGAGGGATACAACGACGGATACAGCTCAACCTCGTGGTTGTATTGCTCTTTAACGGATGCCGACCGACGTGTTAAACGTTGGAGAAAGGACAGTCTCATGCTTTATTTACAAACATATGTACAACATATATATTATGGCCATGTTTATTATTACGAACCCAGATTCAAAGTGTTATGCAGGCCAGTATATTTATAACAGCCGGCCTCCATCGAGCTGTTGTTCAACCAGGTGTTAATGTTTTCCCCAAAGCAACTTAGCAGCAAACCTCAGTCCAGCTTTTGCATCCTGGATGGGTTTTGCCTTTTGTTTGTTTTAATAAATACGGAGGTGAGAGACACTTTATTTGACTTCATTGACTGTAACATGTGGGTTTTGTTTGTCGCCACGAAAAGCAGTTGTTTAGATAACTGCACCTCGTCGTTGTCCATGACCCCCGGGTGATGATTCAGGTAAGAGGCGCTGCCAGTGATGACTTCACCAGGCTCTTGCGGTTGACTTGGCCTTGGAGAGAAAAGCACGAGCGAGTCGCAACAAATCCCTGAGGAATTTGAATCAGATCTTACAGTAATAGAAATTCCCTTGTGAAAAACCTTATGAAAACCTTTTTTTTTCAAATATAAATCAATATGACACACACACAGGGAGAAAACTTTTTTTTTTCTCCCATTTTGGGGGATTCTTTCCCATCAGGTCTATTTTGGGAAAATAAGCTGGTAGAGGAAGTATTTTGGCTTTTTTGATAAAAGTGTTCTTGTATATGAGCCGTTAGATTTGCCTCCGAACTGTTTTACCTCCAATCCGTACCTGTACAATCATACCAGTACTTCATATGATTCACGGAGTATACGAACAGGACTTTTTCCTCTTGAATAATGGATCTGTATGTTTTTGCCAGAATTTCTTGAGCAGTTAATCCTCCTGGTGTCAGATAGCAAATGTTGAATATCGATAAAGAGGCGCGCGCCTCATGGGAAACTAACAGAACATATTGCAGGGATGTCCAATTCATCACCAGAGCTTTTACATAGATATGTTTCACGAGTGAGAATGTCAAGTACTTTTTAGATATGTATCATATCTCTGCTGCTGCGCTTTCATTGTGGCGTTAAGGAAGCCTAGGACACGTTAACTGGGAGAAATGCAATAACCTACCAGTAGACTATATGAGAAATGCGTTGAAGATTTCACGCAGATGGTCTCCAGGCATTCTCACCGTGTGATAAGATAGGAAGCGAAATGCACGTTTCCACATCGGAAAAGTCAAAGTATAGATTAGAAATAACCGTTATAATAAGAGAGGACAAACGTTCTGACAATGAGCGTTGTATTTCCTTCCTTTCATATTTCCACGTGGCGTCACGGTCATTTCTGCCTATTCATTTATTGCATTGATCGGCAGCACCGGTTCCCCATTGGAGCGTAAAAACGGGAGGTAATTTTGCCTCCCTGTTGTTGCACGGATCACATTACCAGTTATAGATCCGGTCGCAGCCATGAATCGATGAGTTTGGCCCTGAAGGTGAACATCATTAGGAGGCCTGACGATCAAACGGAAATCAATATCAGTGATGGATTAACAGATTGGGCATCAGCAACACGATCCGGTCGGTTTGACGGGGACGTCTCAGAATGAGAGAGAGAGTCCTTCTGCCGGCTCGCTCGCAGTCACTCAGACGCTGTATCCCCCGCAGACAGGGTGCCCGCAGACACCCACTCTACCCCCCCCAAGACTCTGCCCACTTTCAGAAACCTCTCCCAACTGCCCCGAGAGCAACGCTGTGGCTCGACTGTTTAAAGAGTCGCGCGTAAATTTAGTTTTGCCGTGACAGTTTTACGGGCCCATTGTTGCCCTTTGTGAAGAAAAAAGAAAATAGGAGGCTTCGGTGAGTTTGTAGGGTCGTGAATCAGGGGAAGGAAGCCTTATTTAACTGATGTTGATGTGGGGGTCAGTCACACGGACAGGAGATCCACAGCTTGTTAAATTAACCCATATAAGTGTTGCCATTCGGGGGCCCAGCTCTCACGTTGAATAGTTTGTTTCCAACAAAAAGCTCTCAACAAATAATTTGCTGCGTGTACAAGAATTAGACTTTTACTCAGCCTGGTGCGTCTGTTCATTTCAACACATACGTGCTGTGAATATGTTAACGGTCGTCGTGTTGCAACTCACCTGACTGGTTGTGCAGCTGTTGCTTAGCTTTGATAGAACGACAGATAGCAATACAATAGCAGCGCGAGATGGAGAGCCGATGTGGGTTTGAGGGGAAGAAAAGTAGCCAGATACCGTCTTGTTTATTGTGATTAACACCGATGGAGGCAGAGATGTTGTGTTCACTCCAAACAGACTCACTAGAACGCACTCCAGTACACAATCACCATTGAATTTGCTCTCTAACTTTAATCGGCACATGCTCACGTACACGTAACCCACAGCCCGCAGGAAAGAACAGAAAGAAGTCCTTGGCCCTTGTGAACCGTGCAAAGCCCTCCGGGAGGTCAATGAGCTCTTTTTTCTTTTTTTTTACCATTCTCCTCCTCCTTTCTCTACCCGTCTTTATCTCACTGCATTTGTTTTGATCATTTGGGGTCATTAGCCAGATTAAATGTTTGTCTGCTCACAAAGACAGATGGTTAATATGTTTCAACGCATCCATTTGTCAGCTCTCTTGTCCCTGGGTGCACCGCGTGTGAAAGGGGAGCTCCGCGTCTCAACTGGCATTTCAAGACTTACAAGCATTTCAACACCTCTGGCAAGAGAGGCCTTCGGTTTGTGTGTGTGTGTGTGTGTTGATGTGTGCGCATGCATGTGTGTGTCTAAATACATTCCTCCTCTAGGGTTGGGTTCCC